TCTGTGTGGTCATAGTGTTCCGAATAACAACTCGAATAGTCATAAGTCGGATAGTAAAGTGATATTTTTTGCTGATAAGCAGCTTCCTCCTGATGTCTTAACTCTTCAATACTCATCCTACTCTGATCGCTATTGGATGGTCTTACTCGCCTAGTAGGTTGATTGGGTACAACAGAATTTGAATATGATGGATGTTGATTTTGGTATTGGAATTGTTGTCCAAAACAGTTCTGGTCAAATGTAGCTTGTTGTGTTTGATGGTTGTTGACTTGTTTGAGGATTATAATTTGGATGAGGTGTACATTTGGTTTAGTGTAGTTGGGAATTGGGTGTTAATATGATTGCTGATAAAATGGTGGCATTTGCCAAGTAGGGTATGATATTGGTGAATGATAAATTGGTTGGAAAGGTGTTGGATATTTTTGGGTGTTAAAATTGATTTGATTGGTGTTATGGTTTTGAAATTTTTTTGGCTTATCAGAAGAGTTTTGCTTATGAAAATTTGTATTTGAATTATTAGGTTGTTCATATATGCCTTTTTCTGTAAGAGATTTATAAGTGTTCGCAAATCTGGTATGTTATGATTGCTGATTATTAAATAAATGTGTGGGGGCAACTTATCTATTAGAGATTCTATGCTTGATTTAATTAATCTAAGGTATAATGTGTTTTCTTCAAATTTTTGTTCTAATTCAAGCTTAGGGGTTGGTATTTGCCTGCGGTTCTCTGCTTCCTCCAAAAATGCTTGTACATTGCCTTTGTATGGGGTGCTGCGAAATTCCTCCAGAAGGAGGTGGTTTGGGGTCTTGGGCTTGTAGTTGAGTTTTAGCTGTCGTCTGAGTTCTGCCTAAGTTCTCATGTCATTAACTCCAATGCAGCTCATAACATCTCCATTGACACCGCGCTCTGGTTGTCTCTACCAAGAGGGACTTGAGATGGTTTCCCTATCATCACTCTTTTCGATGGATTTCCGAATTTTCTAATTTGGCGTATAAACATCATGTTCTCCAATTCTTTACATTTTTTGGCGTTCTGTTGGCCTGCAGGTGTTTCATTACGTCCATTTACGAATTCCACCTTACTTTTTTGGCGAGGAACAGGAGCACCAATTTTCATCAAGATATTTGAATTTTTGCTCATGTTACAGCTTGCGCAGGCGGACGGAGAGACATACAGTCGCTCGGCTTTCAACCTTTCTCATCCTGATTGTTTCTATACATATAACCTTACTTTTATATCCGGGCCGACCAGTAAGGCGCTTTACTGACACTGAAGCGCGATCAATAGTACGGGAAGTAAAAACAAATCCAGCTTCAAGTGCTGTTCAAATATCAAAACCAGTAAGTGCCACTACAGTCAGGAGAACRTTGCACAACAGCAGTTTGCATGGATGAGTACTACACAAAATGCCCAATACATCAAAGGCGAATCAAAAGATGAACTTCTAATTTGCAAAAAAATATACAAATCAGGCTTCAAACTTATGGGAAAACATTTTTTATACGGACGAAAGCAAATTCGAAATTATGGAATCGGAAGAACCTCCTAAAATTTGGCGATCCAAAAATAAAGACTTTAATGATAAGCGTGTTACCAACACCGTAAAGCATGGTGGAGGATCGGTTATGGTCTGGGGCTGTATGGCAGCATCTGGTGTGGGGAATTTGGGAAAAACATTTTTTATACGGACGAAAGCTAATTCGAAATTATGAATGAATTATTCGATTTTTATAATATCTGATTTTATTGATATTAATCTGGCTTACTTTACTCCACATCGATGTGTATGTGAGGTAACTTAATGAAACCCTAGGGTATTTTATTAGTATGTGTTATCTGGCGTATTTTTAAATATTTACAGCGCTGTTAGATGTTTTAAGGGGAACCGTTATATGGAGAGTGAGCGAGGATATGACCATACTTCATCTAATTTTGCATTGCCGGTTAGGAAAAAATTGGTTTGTCCTGAGCGAATTTTGATATTGCACATTAAGTGATTTAGGGATGTGTCCGTTAAACGCCTTAGAGATCTAGGTCACGCCCATTTTCTTTTAAGYTTTTAACCCACAGGATGGGTATATGGCACTTTATTTAGTTTAATGCTATTTTGTAGATTTGACAGTGGTCCGATTATATCCATTTATGAATTTGTTCTTACTATTTTGACAAGGAACACACAAGTTTCATTAAGATGTCTTAATTTTTACTTAAGCTATTGCTTGCACAGGCGGGCAGACATACAGTCACTCGTATTGCAATTCGCCAAATCATCCTGATCATTTACATATATAACTAAGTGCAATACATTACTTACGATTAAGAGCAAGGTCTGCCATTCGTATGTAGGGCCATTAATAATATAACAAATGTACAATACTTGCAAAAATCAAAGCCAAAACCATTACTTACATTTTACAATTATCAAATGGACAAAGCTGATTTTGAATGCAACCGAAGATTTTATACTCTTGCAAATTGGAATTGAACAGTTTTTATTATTGGGATTTAAAAAGTTTTTGGTCTTAGAATGACACATACTAAAAACATTCTTCGTGCAAAGATTTATCCCGTTAAATTAATTGCTTCTTGATTTGTGTACTGGAAACTGAACGAATAAAGTGGAATCTAAAATTTTTTTATATGGAAAGTAAGCGTTGTTGTTGTTCGATTTCATCGATTTTTACAACATAACAATATCAAAACAATGCTASGTACTTTATTTATTGATTTATCGCGCTTTTAGTAGTTTTTGACAGTACCGTTATATGTGGAGTGAGCGGGGTTATCCTCCGATTTCATCCATTTTTACACTGCCGGTAGAAGTTTTTAGTCAGCAAATTGGGTCATAGTAACTAAAGTGGCTTAGGAGATATGTATGTTAAACTTGTTGGAATGCGGGGTCACTCCCCCTTTTCAAAAAAAAAAATTTCCACCGGTGCCCCTTAGTAGTGTGATCTGTACCGAATTACAGCTTTATATCTTAATTTAGTGCTTAGTTATGGCACTTTTTATGTTTTCGGTTAATGGCGATTTGTGGGCTTGGCAATGGATCGATTACTCCCACCTACGAACTCGAACTTTTTTTGTASTAAGGAAACCACATACCAAGTTTCATCGAGATATCTCAATTTTTAATCAAGTTACAGCTTGGCCGAACGGTCGGACAGGCATACAGACAGCCAACAGGATTTCAACTTTTCTCGTCTTCCTTTATATATATACGAGTATATATATATATATATTTATAACTCTATATCTATCTCGATTACTTTTAGGTGATACGTACAACCGTTAGGTGAAAAAACTATAATACTCTGTAGAAACTGGTTGCAGGAGTGTAAAAAGGAAAGATGAAGCGGCAGCTTGTGTGACTTCTTTCCTTCCTTGAATTTTTTTAGTTCTGGAAAACCTTTGACCTCTGATGTAGATATAAGGGAAAGCGATAAAGTAAGTGCTATTTAATCAAAGAAAAAATTCAATAAGCTCTGAAAGCTTAGAGAACTTTAACACTTTAGGACGCACCATTGAATTGACACGTTAATACTGTATCAATTTTGCACAAAACTATCTGACTTGGGGACTGATACATGAAGATATGTGTTCTGTTCTTTCGCAATAAAAATAAACCATTACCATGATATCAAGGATTCTCAAGAATAGAGCTGACCACTTGCCAGGAAATGTGGCCACTGGCAATTTTGTGGACCCTTAACACTTACATACGGTTTCATATAAAAATCGAAATCCAAAAATCATACGCTGCTTGTAACGTTCCGAAATCGAAGAAAACATTTTTGATATATTTATGCAGACACGAAAATAATGGCGGCAAAACTGAAAGTTTACAAAGAAAAACCAAGGAGGCAAAACAAAAAAAAAGAACACGAAAGTTTCTGCGTTAAAAACAAGGTCTCAGTGTACATTCGTGTGTTGGATGCAATCGGGGAAGATTTGAAGACGTACTTTACTAGAGAAGGGTGGATTTCAACTGAGTTTGCTACTTTCAGAAAATTTATGTATGTGCTTTGAAAACCGAAGAAATGGAAAGTCGTATTGACTGCTTGATAGATAGATTCAAAAGCCTTTTTGATAATGACAACGTCATGCGACGTTTGAAGCTCAAAAGTGAACACGCCAGTGCCATTATGGGTACAACCAGAAGTCAAAAGACAATACGAAACGTTGAAGAATGGCGATGTAGATATTTACACCATAATTCTTTTTTCGCATATTCTGCACATTTATTGTGACGAATTCGTGCTCTCAACCTTTTTTTTTTTTTTTTTTTTTTTTTTTTTTTTTTTTTTTTTTTGACACACCGCTTGAGGACGAACATTATTTTAGAAAGATTGATAGTCCTGACATTGCATCGCACGCATCATGACATTGAAGTCATTTTAGAACAATTTATCGAAATATTTCTCTATGAGTCACACAGGAAGTCATTGCAAGCAATGGGTCTTTATTTTTCACAACCGACCGGCAGGATTTTTTTTTAAGTACAGTTCAAACAGTTCAAAATTCGTACCCATATGCAGCAAAAAATTTAATATTAATCCTTAGCTAAAGACAATCATACCACTTATAGATAGCAGTTAGTCAAATATTTTGTGACAAAATTATTCACTCACCGCTAAGTATGATAAGTGCAACAAAAGCTGATAAAAGATAAAAGCGACACCACTTCTGTACCTGACGGCAATGACCGCAATAAACGAAAGAAACCTTAGTGCTAAATGGTAAACTTTTTCAAGCTAGTTCTGAATGGAATTCCAAAATACAAGAAAGGTGCCCACATTTTGGGGGCACTAAAAAAAGTAATTTATATTATTCCGAGAGAGTGGAAATATAATAAAATATTGTGCTCTACGTTAATTAATTTATAAAGTATTTTATCATTTCATTTTAATCTTCATTTACATACTTTTCATTACACTTCATTTCTTCTGAATTGTAAAAATTTTTATTTTCTACGTTAAGTAAAAACACATATACACATGTTACCAATCCAATATTTTTCGCGCATCAATAAATGATATACTATTTTCAGTATAAAATTGAGAGAACCACATTCTAAATTTTTTTATGGCAATATCTTCTTTAACTAATATTGGTGTGTTCCGAAATACTTTGTGGTTCCAGATAAACATGTCTCTTTCAAACTATAAATAAATTAAAAAAGAGTTTTAATGATCATCAATATAACGGAAAATAAATAAATATGTATATATTACCATAACACTTTCAGCGAAAATCATTAACTTTACCATAGGTCCGAGACCCCGTCGTGCGTAGAACCTATGAGACACTTTTTGTACAAGTGGTTCAATCGGTGTTACAGTTTGCAGAATGTCAATATGTCCCAAAATCGACGATTTTATATCCAAGTGTACAAATGAAGGACCAACCTACAAAAAATATTGAAGTTTCATAATTTGTTTAAACTTTCCAGCCCAATTTGATTCAAAGGGGTCAAATAGTTGCTGAGGTATAAAATTGTGGTGACCTTCTGAACCGATTTGAATAAATTGTAGCACACTCTGCAGTTTGATCCAACTTAAAAGATAGGTAAATTTGTACCTCAATTTATAGTTGGGCAAATACGGACCGATATTTCAACTCAAATTAAATTGTGCCTTCAAACTGTCATTACTAACGGCCAATAGATGTAGGTATTGCGTGCATCTGCTTATTATAGACCTGACTGACGAGCAAAATTAATGCCCCTTAAGCAACGCTAATGCGCATTGAAATTYTTTTATTATAGTCCTGATAGACAAGCCAAATTAATGCACCTTAAACAACGCTAATGTGCATTGAAATTTCATGGTGACAGACGGCAGACTTGTGCATTTAGACAGATGATAGTGAAATTTGTTTATTTATTTAAAAAAAAGAGAAATAAAAATTAATAAAATAAATTACACTGGTCAACAAATTTGTTTATTTATTTAAAAAAAAGGGAAATAAAAAT